GACAACACAGCGGCCTCTCGCCGCCCACCGCGCTTCGAATCTCCTGCTGGTTTTCCGCCTCGACCGTCTTCGCCGCCTCTACGGCCTGTCGCTGTGGACTCCGGTGCCATTGGGGGTGGTGACTCTGGAGGTGCGGACTCTAGGGATGCTAATCCTGGGGGTGGTGACTCTGAAGATGCGGGCTCTGGGGGTTCTGATTCTGGGGGTGCTCACTCTGGAGGTGCGGTCACTAAGGGTGTTGGTCATGCTAGAGCTGGAGGTGTTCCTGGTGCTAGTACTGGAGGAGCTAGTTCTGGGGGTGCAGCGGGGCGGCAGCCATTGTACTGGGAGCAGCCACAGTCATCACTACCTGAGACGGAGCCTCGATACCTTCTCAGACTCCCGCATGCCTCTGCTAAGCCGACAAACACTGGTACTACTCCTCCTCTCCAATTCCCGCCACCTGACATGTCTCAGACACAGTTATCGCCTGACTCCCCACTGCCTGTTCCTTCTCGTTACACTCCGTCGACGGAATCCCCGACTGAGCTTCGCGTCTCGTTCTGCCTCACTTGTTACTCGTACTCGTCGTGCTCGCCCTCCACATGTCCCCAACACTCACACCATAGCACTTCGTCCTTCCTATCTTCCTGACGTTCCTGACCGTCTGTCTGGCCTTGCTCGTTATGCAAGTCCGAATGTCACTCACGCTTGTGATTGGCCCTACATTTTTGTCTGCTTTTGCGTCTTCTTTAGTTGCTGAGCTCACCGACTTTGCTAATATTTTCCGCCTTGACTATCTTACGGGTCTTGTTTCTGACTCTGACCGTCCTTCGTCCGTCAGGGGTGAGCTTGCCGTTGGTGGTGACGTCCTTGAGGACAAGCAGTTTGTGCCAGAGTGCCTCGCGGCAGCTGTCCCTTATCTCGCTGCCATGCTGCTTGCCCCTAAGGGAGACCCGGATGCACAGGACATCCCGACCCCACGCTCCCACGTAGAGGCGATCACGGGTCCTTACTCTTCTCAGTGGTAGACAGCCACGGATGCGGAGATGGCATTCTGGAAGTCCACCGGCACCTATGTCGACGCAGTTCCCCCTCCTAGGGCGAACATAGTTGATGGCATGTGGATTTTCAGGGTGAAGCGGTTGCCGAGTTCCCCGCTTGTCTTCAAGGTCCGTTACGTTGCAAGAGGTTTCAGTTATTGTCAGGGGTTCAACTTATTCCAGATTTTCTCCCCCACCCCAAAAATGACCACTCTTTGGGTGTTACTACACATTGCAGCACAGCGTGACTACGAGCTGCACTCCCTCGACTTCTTGCAAAGTAGCCTCTAGGAGGAGATATGGCTACGCCGCCCACCTGACTTCACTGTGTCGTTTCCTGAGGGTACCCAGTGGAGCATCCGACAGCCATTCTACGGTCTCCGTCGGGCGCCCCGCGAGTGGCACGACACACTGAGGACGACACTTGCGGCACTTGGCTTCGCTCCTTCGACTGCCAACCCGTCCCTGTTTTTGCACACTGACTTTACTTTGCCACCGTTCTACATCCTCGTCTCGTGGAGGTCCAGTCGCTCGTCTTCTGTGCTTAGCTCTAGTTGTGAGGTCGAGATCTGCGCTGGGGCTATGCATGCGCTAGAGTTACGCTGGCTGACCTACCGTATTCTCGCGGACAAAACACCCTAGGGTATAGCTAAAAATACAAGGAAAAAATGGGGGGGGGTCTCCTCATAGGAAAAAGCTACATAATATCCGGTTCCTTACATATGGCATATTCTAGTGTTAGAGTTTTTTAAATTAGACAATGTGGGTGTTTTGATGGTCGTTTTAACATCACTGTCTGAGGTGCGAATGTTAGTTTCGACCGCTAACTTCATCACCCCCACGAAAATCCAATGTGGCACCTCTCTAGTCACTTGCAGCGGAAGATTCACCAGCACGTGGCGACGGCGAAATAGTGGGAGGGGGGGAATCTCGGCAAGTTGTAAGTGAAAGTACCGCGAAATTTCATAGAGGGAGAAATTCTCGAGATATTCTTCCGTATTGCAACTACTCGTTAACGACTATAATAATGAATCCCTAAGAAAAGGAGGGTGTTATAGAAAATCACCCAAAAAGGGGGGTATAGTAGAAACGAGGTCGCCCATAGCACCCACCCCGCACAAGCTACCCGGGGGTGTACAATTACGGGGGGGTGTTTTGTCCGGGAGAATACGGTACTTGCTGACCGACTTGGGTGAGCGGCCTCGTTCTCCTCAGGCTCTGTATGTCGACAGCAAGGCCATGATTGCCTTGTGTCGGGAGCAGAGATTGGGAACAGAACGAAGCACATTGCTTACTTTCTCATGCGGGAGTTATAGCAGCGTGATCAGCTTCGCCTTTCTTATGCGACCTCTCAGGCCAATACCACTGATATCTTCATCAAGGCCCTAGGGTCTGGTGATCATCAGCATTTCTGTACTGCTCTTGGCCTTGCTTACTCCGCCTCACTTGCTTGTCTCTTGATCTCGCCTTACCGTAATCACCCGGATAAAAAACCCTAGGATCTTATGAAAATTTCAATAATAAAACCTGGGGGGTCTATACATATTGTATGATTTTTATATGACCCGGGGCATAAATATGGTATTTTTTCCTTTAAGAAATATAAAAAGGATGCATGTTTGGGTGTTTTCATAAGTTCAAAAAAGCACACATTGGCATCGAAAGTGGGTTGAAACACGATTGTGTTTACCCACGTGCATTTACCAGGTTGGCACCACTAACAGTGTTGCAGAGATTTGGATTTACTAGCATGATTGGGGGTAAAGGAAAAAAATGCACGCATTTCATGACGCGACAGTCACGCAACCTCCTCGGCAAATGGATATCGTCAGTCTCCTCCGTTTCGTTACAAAAAAATGCGTCATTCTCTGTACTTTCTGTAAAACAGGGGGGGGTCTTATAATGTTTTCGCCTCTAAAGGGGGGTATAACTTAAACATACCGTAATAAAAGACCCCACCCCGTATTAAAGACCCGGGGGGTCTTTAACTGCGGGGGGACTTTTGTCCGGGTGATTGTCAACGGGAGTTGGGTTTGACCTCGTCCTAGCTTGGGCGGAGCAGATTTCGTGGTCGGGTGTGAGAGGAGCAGCCGACCTACAGCAATGGGCGAGCTGGTTGACGAGGAGGTCGACCTGCACGGGGACTGCTGCACGGGCGCCGACGTCAGGGTGGCGCCGACTTCTGGGAGGTCGACCTGGGAAGTCGACCTGCGGAGGGCGTCAACTTGGTGACGCCAACTTGGGGGCAGCCAACTTGGGTGTTCGGCTGACGGACTGCTGGTCGACCTGGCGGTTGGTCGACCAGACCTGCTGGTCGACTTGGCGGTTGGTCGACCAGACCTACTGGTCGACTTGCTGGTGGTCGACCAGACTTGGTGGTCGGCGAAGGAGGGGCCGACGTCGACCTCGACTCAGGACGCCGAGCAGTTGGGCGTCGAGTAGCTGGGCGTCAACTTGGTGACGCCGACTTCGAGTAGCCGACTTGGGTGGTCGGCCGACAACTGCGCTGGTCGACGTGGAGCTGGTCGACCAGGAGTGACGTCAACCTGGAGCTGGTCGACCAGGGGCGTGGTCGACCTGGTGAGGTCGACTTGGGGTGGCCGTCGACTTGGGAGGTCGACAGGCACATATAGGAGCAGCTGGTCGACGTGGTTGCCCGGTCGACCAGGTTACCTGGGTGACAAGGTTCTGCGGAGGAGTGCGACGGTCGCCTAGGCAAAGTTGGCGAGCCCGACCTCGGTGGTGGTATCCCGAGGTCGACGTGGCTGGTCAGATGCAGTCATCAGCGCCAGGTTGACTTGGTGTGTGCGCTGTGCAGGTGACAAGGCTCAGCACGTCAATCATCTGCGAGCACCTACGCAGTTGGTGCACTGCTGTTCTGCGGGAACAACGCTGGCACGCCGTCAACCTGCAGTGTTGGCACGATGTCGACTTTGCACTGCTGGAGCGCGGTCGACCAAGTCGTGCTGGAACGCAGTCGACCATGCTGCGCTGGCAGTCGACCGACCTGCATGCTAGCTCTGATGTAGTCTTGCTATGCCAACTTCATTGTACCATTGTTGTCAATCTTTGCTAGTGGAACTCTTGCAATATCTCCCCGTGAATGTGCAAGCAGAGAACACACAAGCAAACGACTAAGGAACGCATAGATCACACGAGCACCCGTGCCTAGCCCGTAGTCTAGCTCCCGTTGCAACAGTTATCTCTGCAGTGATTACGGTATACTTGCTGTATTTTGCTATTTTTCTATTCCTGCTGGTTTACGCTTGCTAGGCTGTGATCACAGTACTGCTTTTGTTGTTATAACACTGCCTGTGAACTGGCCTTGTGGCTGCTTGCTTGTGCTTTAACTGTGTGGTGATCTTGAGATTTACCCTTAGCTTTGCTTCTCTCTTGACTGGTCTTGTGACCATCTATGTTTGTTGCCCTTCACTTAGCCTATTTTGGAGTGTTAAAATATATTTGTGTATTGAAGTAGACAATAGGGAGTACAACCCTTCTAGGGTTTGGGTATATGTTTCTGAACTCTTGCTTGTGAATCCATTCCAATAATTTCCTTTCTAACAGCACCAGATTTTTATAAGCGCAGGTGTGCTTATATCCGGGGTAATACGTAGGTATGTGCAGGGGAATGCGGGGGCCAGTACATAAAAACACACTGAAATAAGAGAAATTAGCGTAAAAAACCTGACTACTGAAAGTCTGCAGCACACCATATGTTGTGCTCTGAGCTGTTGTGTTTCTGCAGCTCCTGCCATCAACTCCCATCACTAACCACCCCTCTGCTGCTCATCCTTTATCGTTGCCGCTTGTTAATCTCCTGCTCCTGCAGTGTACATCCGAAACATTGCTTCTCAGAATGTGCACTAGGCTTCTTTCAACAGCTCCAGCAAGACGAAAGAGCATCACACTGCAGAGATGACTTACAGGTATGTACATAACAGCCGCCGGTACTGCATCCAATTGCGCGTGCTGCTGTCAGTAGCAGCGTGTGACGAATGGCACCGCGTGAAGGTTCATGCGCTCGTGGTAAATGCGAAGAATGAGTGCCGCTGTCTCCTCGATAGGCCTCCCTGTCACGTCTGCCCACCCATGCATGCACGCACCCAGCAACAGCAACAGCAACGGCAAGCGCAAGTCATGCATACAGACACGCACATACATGACAGTTCCAATGCCAAAACAGCACACACTTGCAATGTGCAGCACTGCGCAAGCCATAAAGAGCCCTCGCAGCAGCTATCCGCAGAGAAGAATGCGGCGAGAGATAAGAGCATAAGGAGTGTTGCGGCCTACAAGCAGCATGGGGTGGAGCATACCAATGAGGGGCCAGAGGGGGTGCAGGGAAAAGAGGTCATCAGCCGCCTCCAGCTCGCCCCTCACATGCTCCGCACTGCAGTACCTCCCTCCCCCTCCCATGCCCTCTCCATACGCCGCCCCCCTCTCCCCTCTTCCCCACGCGGACCTCTCCCTCCCTGCGCCGCGGTGCGGCTGCTGCGGCAGCAAGCCCAGGCGCTGGTAGCGTGCGCGGCGGATGGCGGCGAGAGTGGGAGCGGCGATGGTGAGGGCGAAGACGCGGCGCTGGTCCACGTGGTTTGCCTGCAGCAGCTCTGCTGGTGGCGCCACCCCCGGCACCAGCGGCACATTCGCCACCTGCACATGCGCGTGGGCACGCCGTGGGGTGAGCAGGCCATGGGGTGGGGCAGGGGGGCACGGGAAGAATATGAACTTAGAACGCCAGGCTTATGGCTCCAAATGGTGCTGTCAGTACTAGGAATGTACACCTGGCGTCAATCACAGCAACGTGAGAGACAGTGGTTCTGGAGGCGTAGTAAGAATAGTGAGGCTTCACAGAAATGGAGAAGGAAAGCTCTTAGTAGATGATTAAGGTCCTCAAACAAACAGCAACCTGGAGCATCGGAAGCACGTTGAACAAGGAAACAGAGCACGCAGCGAGGGAAATAAGGAACGACGGTATCAGGGAAACAGCTGAGCGCAACTAGGGAAACAGCTGAGCGCAACGAGGGAAACAGCTGAGCGCAACGAGGGAAACAGCTGAGCGCAACGAGGGAAACAGCTGAGCGCAACGAGGGAAACAGCTGAGCGCAACGAGGGAAACAGCTGAGCGCAACGAGGGAAACATGTACATCCTGTTGCCCAGACTGACAGCATAAGGCGAGTGGGGTGACCTTATAGCCCATGTGCGCGAGGTGCATGGAGAGCGGGGTCTTGCCGGTGCGGGACACGCCCACGAGAATGATGTCCGCCTGCCCCAGGTTCCGCGGCAGGGCTCCATCGTCCTGCCTGCTCGCAGCACGCCACGCATGCAGGCGCACACACAGGGGAGCAGAGGCGCACACACAGGGGAGCAGAGGCGCACACACAGGGGAGCAGAGGCGCACACACAGGGGAGCAGAGGCACACACACAGGGGAGCAGAGGCGCACACACAGGGGAGCAGAGGCGCACACACAGGGGAGCAGAGGCGCACACACAGGGGAGCAGAGGCGCACACACAGGGGAGCAGAGGCGCACACACAGGGAGGCGAGTGCAGTGAGTGGGAAGAGCAGAGGCGCACAACAGCAGCTGCAGCGCCTTGGCTTGCACACTGCCAAGGTGCCTGCCCTGCACTACACTGCACGGGAGGTGCTGATGATTTGCTGTGAGACGTGGCACAGCAGGTGCAGACACGGTAGAGAGCAAGACACACAGGAGGAAGCACAGGGGAGCAGCAAGCAGCAAGCAAGCAGGGGGGGCGAGCGAGACACACCGGATGGTGAACTCCACCGCCTCGATGCGCCGGAAATACTCCTCGCCCAGCTCCCCCACGCGCTTGCCCCCCGCGCCTTGCCCCGCACCCCCTGCATCCACGCCCATATGCTCCCCCACAGCCGTCAGCAGCGGCCCCAGTAGGTCCACTGCTGCCACGTGCAGCGCCGCTGCTGTGTGCGTGGCGGTGTGGCGCAGAGCAGGGCCGGCGAGCGAGTGCACGAGGAGTGCACCGCTTGATGAAGCCATGTGGATGATAGCGAGGAGAGACGCCGTGTCTGTGACCTGAGGGGTGGGGCGAGAGGGAGGAAAGAGGAGACCAGGCCAGTTTATCCACCTGCACATGCCAGCCGCCCCACTGCCACGTCCCCTGGCTCGCACATCAGCGCATTTGCCCCCCTGTGTGGGGAGGCGGTGCAGAGGGGGCCCGGGCCCATCTCATGTGAAGAGAGAAAGCGCTGGGCTGGCACGTGGCGACGATGGCGGAGCGAGGTGCGCTGCTGTTCTTGTGCATTGCGGGGAGGACTCGGGGAGGGGAGACGGCGTGTGCAATGGGTGAACGGAGGGTGAGAAGTGACAAGAAGGGATTTTTTTTCATTGCACCTCCATCAGTTCTTCCTCCCCCGCCCCCCCCCCTGTTCGTACCTGCGAATAGAGCCTGGTGTGCACGGAGCATCGGCCGTCTCCCACCCCGCAGTCCAGCAGCCCCACTGCCGCCCCCACCGCCCTGTCTGCCGCCCACGCCGTGCCGTCCGACACCACAAATATCTCCTTGCCACCCCCCCTTGCCCCGCTGCCATCCCCGTCAGCACGACCTGCTGCCACTGCCCCAGCAGCGTGTGCCAGCGATGGTGCTGCCATGGGCACATCAGCCCCACGTGCTTCTGGTCCTTCCCTGCCCTGCACCACCGCGCCACTGCCCTTCCCCTCACCCGTGACCCCACGCGCTCTCGCCCTGCTGCTTCCCCAAAACACACTACTCGGACTTGGGCTGGGGCTGGGCGTGGTGGGCGTGGAGGGCGAGAGGGGGGCGAGCAGGCCACTGTGCGCCTCACTCATGCTGCTCTGCCTGCTCATCGCGTCACCGCCCCCTGTGCTTGCACTCGCACTCCCAACATTCCCATCACTACTAGCACTCCCATCGCTGCCATCGCTGCCATCGCTGCTATCCACGACCGTGTGGGTGCGCCCTGCCATCCTGCCCTCATGCCCGCTCTCTCTCTCGCTCTCGTTGCCACTCTCGCTCCCTGACTCGCTACCGCTTCCGGTGCTAGCGTTGGCAGTCAGAAGGCAAAAAATGTGGAGACGGGTGGCAGGAAAAAAGTGCAGGGTGTACGTAAATGGGTAGGCGAGCAACGGTGGGTAAATAGCACATGCAAGGCAGCAGGAGAGCAACAGCAGGAGAGGAAGCGAGAGGGAGCAGCAGCAGGAGAGCGAGAGAAGGAGAGCAGCAGGAGGCGAAGGAGCGTTTGGCGTACCTGTCCATACCCTTGTCTCTGCAGCGGTCTCCACGCGCCGACCTGTCCTTGCGGGGCTGACACGCAAGATACGAGTTGGAGTGGGGGGAACAAGGCGCGCACAGATGAGTGACATGCAGCGGAGACGAGCGGAGATGAGTGGCGTGCGGCGGATAGCGGCCCGAGAAAGCATGGCAAGCCTCGCCGGACAACACGCGACGATGATTGTGTGGGGGAGCCCGTCGCCGTTGGCCCATCCTCCTATAAACGTTATGTTTCGCCGTCCCTACTCTGTACCTCCGTGCGCTGTCTTCCCGTACCTCCATGCTGGAAGCCTTTTCGTCGCCGCCGTGACAGTAAAGCGCCGCGCGACCTGTTCGCGTCCCTCCCGCTCTCGCGGCCCCTAGTTCGATCCTAAGGCTGCCTCGCCGTCGCACAGTCCCGCCGCCAGTCGCAGCGAAAGTCGCCCCGGTTGTCGCTGCCATCGCAGAGCGGGAGGCGCCAGAGGCTGCTGCTCCTCCCAATCCCGCCATCGAAAGCTGCTCTCGGATCCCCTCCCTGCTGATTGTCGACTCCTACATCTGGCCGCTTCGGGCCGCCCTGTAACGAGAACTCTAAAGTTGAATCGCGATACGTACTACAAGATTGAAGCGGGTTGCATGATGGCAAGAACTCATTTTCCTGATAATCGTTCAGCGAAGATGCATGCATCCCTCCCTACTAAGGGCGACGTCAGGTTGTACAGCGTTTTGTACGCCCTCTCTGGTAAAATTCGTTTCAAGACGGTGCAGAGCGGTAATTGTCGAGAACCGCTATTCACCGTGTTGGACCGTCCTGAACCACGATCTAGGAACTGTAAGCGCATGTGAAATGTATAACCTGACGTCGCCCTAACGGAGAAAGGAATGTCCAAGCTTGTGGAAGCAAGCTTGTCCAAGCTCGCCCGAGGCACGGCGAAGTGACAGGTTCGGGAGGTGTGGTCTGGTTTGGGGAGCACTTGGTGTGTTGTGTTTAGCTCTGCCGACGTGGCACGTACCCTGTCAACGTCAGCATCACTCGAACTGTGCTGGTAGAGTATGTTCTACCGACAGTTGAACGACTGACGTGACTGACACGAGCATCGTATCATCTCACGTGGATTCTTCGCTGGAGTTTACGAGTGCAACGAGGGAACGTACGGAACTCCGTTGTGCAACGAGACAAATTCCCAACCTCCTGCTCGCGCTCTCGTTAGGACGTGCTGCTTTTGTAAGTTTGGGTGTCTACAAATTGGTCAGCATCTTGGATATGTGCAACGTAAACCTGCACAAAAATGTTCATTGACAAGTCGTTCCACCTATCCCATCTAGGGTTGTCATTCCAACTAGGAAATCTAGGTTAAATCGAAACCGTTCAAGATTGTTCTCTCGACGGTTCAGGTTGCAACTTGAACTAACTTCACCAATTTACCCAATAGCCCTTATTGTAATCGCGTCCGTTCACAAGCTAAAGGTAAAGGAGGGGGGATATCCCCCTTTGGGTTACCCCGGCTGTCGATCGTAATCCGCCTACCCACTTGTTTACACACCTCGCTGGTTATCGAGGTAAGGCATATCCACTCCCAGATGAGCAGTGCAAAACCCCCTTCTAGGGGGCTGGCGAAACTCGCCGACCTGGGGTTTGAACCCAGAACCTCATCATTTGGAAATCCCATCTAACTTGACTAGGCCACTTCAGGATGCGTCCGTCCACAAGCATTCGCATGCAATGGTCATCCTTCCGCCACCACCACACTCAAAGAGTGGGGATACACGCAAAAACGATAAAACTCAGTGGATCAGTAGGGAGCTGTTTGACAAGCATCGGCAGGCACAGAGTCAGCAGGCACAGAGTCGACACCAAACTACGAACTAGAATGTGTCACTTTTCACAAACTACTATGTGTCGACCTTATTCCGGGGTACTTGCTCAGTACGAGGTGATTGTACAGATTCCCTTATACAATTTACCCCTCGAGGCTCTCCTGCTGTTAGCTGTATCACAAGACTTCTAAGACTGGCCGTCTCCCGCCATCAGCTTTTGCTGAGTCGCCTCGCCCTTCCAATCTGTAGTAAGTCTTGCGAGTCGCCTCGCCCTCCCAACATGTAGTGAGGTCGCAGGGCATTGGTCCGTCGCAAGGTGGTGGGGCTGTGTCGCAGGAGCGCGACGAACCGTCTCCATCCAAAGGTTTGGAGTCCTTCCTCCACTCCAGGGCAGATTCGGTTTGGACGCTCGTCGCATCCCGCCCCTGGTGCCCTAACTGGGCGACCGAGAGGGCTCGTCGCTTACCATGGATAGCGTCGCGGCGGCGGTGGACATGTCGTCAACTCGACTCTCGCCAAAGCTCCGAACCATATTCGCATTTCCTGCTCTCCCATTGGGGGTATTTCTACTCGCCGCTTATCATCCACACCGCACACTTTCCTTTCCGCAGTTTTCTTCTGATCAGATCGACCAGCAGGTAGCGTGCGGTGCTACTAGTACCGCCGCTGGGACTTTTTTGTACTCCGACCAAGACCTACCGCAGCGCAATGGCCGCAACGGCCGTCATCGGAGCACGTCACGCCACGTTCTCCACCTCGGGGCTTCTCCCGGTGCTCGTCCTCGCATTGCTGCTGCACGCGCCAGGCGCGTCCGCCCGCCACTGGTTTTGGAACGACGGCCTCTTCCGCGTTGCGCCCACACAGGAAACGATGCCCACCGTCGCGATCACCGCCGCGCAGCCCGAGGGAGCTTCGGCGGAGGCTGCCGCGACGCCAGCCCTGGCGGCGCCGGCGCCGGCTCCTACGGTATCGTGCTCCGACGCCCCCGTGGACCCTTTCATCGTGTCCGGAGCCGCGCCTGACCCGTGCGCTGCGCTGGCAGCGGAACTGGTGAGCACTGGCGTTGAGAAATTGGGGAACAAGACCGGAGGGCTGGGATTCGCGGCTCCTTCTCTCTTCAAGGCTTGCTACTCCACGTTCCTGTTCAGGTAGTGTACCGCTGCTACTCATGCCGTGTGAAAAGTCGTCGTTGATTCTTTATTATCCACGCTCAAAATGCACCACTAAATCCGAACTTCCATTCCACACTTGCTGGGCGTGGATATGCCGGCCTGATTCGAGGTTCTGCTGTTTGCCATGGTGGTGGCGGATGTGGCAGGCACACATGCAGGACCTGCTGTCCATCACGAACGCGTTCGACAATCACTACGTGTACAAGCACATCGCGCTGGACTCGCCCGACCAGACCAACCTGCCGAGCACCATCGATATTGTCGCGGAGCTTCGGAAAGTCGTGGCGAACGGCGAGGTGGGGAAGTACGCGCGGCTGGTGGACGCGCACATGGCGGCGCGGCGGGCGACGTTGGCGCTCAACGACGGGCACAGCATGTTCGACCCGCACTGCTTCGCTGGCGCCTTCGACTTGCCGCTGCCGCTCGTGGCTGTCGTCGAAAACGGCGGCAGCAAATCATTCGCGTTGCGCCGCGCCGATGTGAGTTTTTCTCGCAACGGTCAAAGTTGGTCAGTTATATTTCCGAGGACTCCGTTGCAAAGCATATCTGCGCCCCTTTAAAACCATACTATAGGTTACACTTAACTTTTCGAAAATTAGCCCTTTTATTGATTCTTTATTACTACTTGCCGTCAGATGTCCCAAAAGGGTTGGACAGTGTTGCGAAGGGTTGTCACAAGGTAGGAAACAAGAATGACTAGAAACAAGACGGTACAAGGTTGTATGGGCAAAACCTAACAGTACTGTACCCCATAAGGAGTGCCCCACTACAGCCTACAGTATAGTTCTGACACACCCCCATAGGCAAAGCGGGGGACAAGCAAGAAAACAAGGCAAGGTCAAGCTCAGGGTGGATCACAACGTCACCATGCATTCTGAGCACAAGTACAAGGCCACAAGGCCGGTTCACATGCAGGATTATAAATCAAAGTGAACAAGCAAGACAGTGATCTCAACATAGCAAAGGTAAGCAAGCAGGTGCAGGTATATATAGATCACAGTACAAGCAAATTCAAGAGGTAAGCAAGTGAGGCCAGGTAGGCACAAGACCTAACATAGTACAAAAGCGCTGATGATCACAAGGCTGAAGTGCCTTGGTAAAGATATCAGCAGTGTTGGCCTCAGAGGCCACGTAAGCAAGACGAAGCTGACCCCGCTGCTGCAACTCGCGAGCAAGGAAGTAGCGAAGAGCAATGTGCTTCGTTCTGTGCTCCAGTCTGTGCTCTTGATATAAGGCCAGCATGGCCTTGTTGTCGACGTACAGAACTGGAGGAGAACAAGGCGCCTCTCCCAAGTCGGTTAGCAGGTAGGTGAGCCAGCGTAACTCCTGAGCAGCCATGGCCCCAACGTAAATCTCAGCCTCACAACTGGAGGTGAGAACAAAAGACGAGCGGGTAGACCGCCACGAAACAGAGCTGGTACCAAGGCTGAAGGTGTAACCCTGTGACGACCGCTGCGTAGCCAAGTCGTCAACCCAAGAAGCGTCTGCGTGACCAGTGAGGACCACTGAACTCCGCCCTCCAAGCACAAGCCCCATGTCCGACGTACTACACTGGTAGCGCAACACCCTCTTAGCTGCATCCATGTGCTTTGGTCGGTGTCTCCCAGGAGCAACATAGCGTGCCAAGATGCTAAGAGGGTATGCCAGGTCAGGTCGAGTGCAGGTCATCAGGTACATGAGGCAGCCCAACAAGCTCTAGGTACGGGCCACTCGGCTCTACGGATTCATCCGAAGGCAGAGCTGAGAGCGAGTGGCGAGTAGACAGAGGAGTGGCCTGAGGCGAGGAGTACGTGAAGTTGAAGCGCTGAAGGACCTGCTGCACCATGTGTGACTGAGTCAAGGTAATGGTGCGCCGTGCTCTGTCCCGGGTGATCTGCAAGCCAAGATAGCTGTGCAGTTCACCCAGGTCTGTGCACGTGTATCTCTTCTGCAGCTCCGACTTCACGTGGGCGAGTCCAGCAGTGTCAGCAGTAGCAAAGACCAAGTCGTCGACGTACACGAGGATGTAGAACGGCGACTAAGAGGTGTCGGTGCGGAGAAACAGCGACGGGTCAGCAGTGGAAGGAGCAAACCCAAGAGCCACAAGCGTAGTCCTCAGTGTGTCGTGCCACTCGCGGCGCACCTGGCGGAGACCGTAGACTGGCCGCCGGAGGCTCCACTGGGTACCAGGAGGAAAAGACCCAGTGAAGCCAGGTGGGCGGCGCAGCCAGATCTCCTCGTGTAGGCTGCCCTGTAGGAAAGCAGTGTTGAAGTCAAGAGAGTGAAGCTCGTAGTCACGCTGAGCAGCGACGTGCAGCAGAACCTGAAGAGTGGTCATCTTCGGGGTCGGGGAGAAGGTCTGGAAGAAGTCAACTCCCTCTCGCTGACTGAAACATGAGCAACGTAACGCGCCTTGAAGACAGGCGGAGAACCCGGCGGCCACTTCACCCTGAAAATCCACATGCCACTGACGATGTTCGCCCCAGGAGGGGGAACCTCGTCGACGTAAGTGCCTGTGGACTTCCAGGATGCCATCTTTGCGTCCATGGCTGACTGCCACTGAGAGGAGTAGGGACCCTCTATCGCCTCTGCGTAAGAGCGCGGGGTCGGGATGTCTGGTGCATCCGGGTCTCCCTCAGGTGCAATCAGCATGGACACGAGATGAGGTACAGCGGCTGCAAAGCTCTCAAAGTTCTCCTGCCTGTCCTCAAGGACGTCCGTGCCAAGAGCACACTCACCCCCGACGAACGGAGGACAGACAGACGCATTCTCAGCAACAAGACTAGCAGCGTAGTCGAGACGACAGTGAGCAGCAAAGTTGACAAGCTCAGCAACTAAGGCAGACGCAGCAGTGGAGTCAAAGGAAGGGTCAGTGACAACAGTGGCCAGGAGACGCGTGACATTAGGACTAGCAGCACGAAGGGAGTCAGACTCCGGGTCAGAAAGGGCAAGAAGAGAGTACGCAGGAGGAGACGGCAGAGGGACACACTGCGGAGCAGTGGAAGGGCGCAGAGCCATCTGGTGCGTGCCAGGGACAGGAGGAGGACGCTGACGCGAACCACGACGACTAGTGCTAGCAGCACGAACAGGTGACGCAGGATGAGACGCAGGCTCACGACGCTCAGCAAGACCTCCGGTCGGACCAGTGTAAGGAGAAAGAGCAGGCAGTGGGGAGGCGGGCTGCAACTGTGACTACGACTGGACAGGCGGTGGACACTCTAAGGAAGGAGCAGGACCAGTAGAAGGCGGAAGACCAAGAACCTGCTGAAGGAGCGGAACAAAATACAGCCGCGGCCGAGCAGCGCCTCCAGAACCAGCAGGGACAGCACCAGCACCCCAAGTGGCAGCTCCAACTCCAGCAGCACCACCAGCTCCAGCAGCACCTCCAGCAGCACCAGAAGCGCCAACTCCAGCACCTACAGGAGCACGGGCTCCAGCAGCACCTCCAGCTCCAGCACCCTCAGCAGCTCCAGCTCCAGCAGGACCACCAGAAGCTCCAGCAGCCCCAGTAGCGCCAGCTCCAGTGCCTCCAGCAGCACCTGCACCAGCATCTCCAGCAGCTCCAGCTCCAGCTCCAGCAGTACCACCAGGCCCAGCAGCTCCAGTACCTCCAGTACGAGCACCCCCGGGACCAGTGGCTCCAGAACCCCCAGCAGCTCCAGTAGCAGCAGGACCTCCAGCGTCCGTAGCACCAATAGCTTCTGCAGCACGGCTCCAGCGCCGAACAAACCACTCGCGCAGCTGCTGGGGAGAGAGAGGCTTTCGTCGGGACGAAGCACCCGAGGGACCTCCAGGCTCAGCACCTCCAGACTCCACACGCGCAGGCTCAGCACCCTCAGGCTCCGCACCCCCAGACTCAGCAACCGTAGGCTCAGTACCCCCAGGCTCAGCACCCCCAGACTCAGCACCCCCAGACCCAGCACCCCCAGGCTCCGCACGCTCAGGCTCAGCACCCCCAGACCCGGCACTCGCAGGCTCAGCACCCCTAGCAGCGCCAGAGTCAACAGCTACCTTGACTGGCTTGACTGCGTCTACCTAGGACACACCTGAGGGGGCAGGACCCTGAGGGGGGAGGGGGTCTACTGGGGGGGGACTTGGCGCGAGGAAGAGCAGCGGGGGGGGGAGGGGGGCAGTGCGGTAGGGGAAGAGACGGTAGTAAGGAACCGACTCGTCAAACGTGACGTCCTAAGAGGACAGAACACGGCGCGAGGTGGGGTGGTAAAACTGCCAACCAGGCGCGTCAGGGGGGAAGCCAAGGAAGACGCAGGGAACAGCACGGGAGGACAGCTTGTCCGCAGACAAGTCGCGGACGAAAGCTCAAGATCCCCAGACACGAAACGCAGACGCATCGCCAACCTTCCCCGTCCACCGCAGAGTAGGTGTGGTCTCCGGCATGGAGACCCGGGGCTGGAGGTTGAGCTGATGCACAGCGTACTGAACCGCGAACGACCACAGAAAATGGGGAGCAACCGCATGGATCATGGACGTACGAGCGACGTCCATGACCATGCCAATGCGGCGCTCAGCAATCCCATTTTGCTGCGGAGAGGCTGGAAGCGTGAACGTCTGGCGGATGCCCTCCGCACGACAGAAGGCTCGCAGAAGGTCGGAGGAAAACTTTCCACCTCTGTCGGAGTGCAGACGCAGAACAGGAAGGTCCGAGCCGAAACTCTCGCTGAGCTGACGACGGGCAGCGCGGATCCAGTCGATCAGCACCTCAGTGACCTCACCCTTGCGGCGCAAGGGGAAGACTGTGGTGTAACGCGAGTAGTCGTCAACGACCAGCAGAAAGTAGCGCTCGTGACCCTGTCCACGGACGCGGGCGGGGCCCCACACGTCCATGTGAAGAGTCTGCAGGGGAGCCTCCGTCGGAGGGAACTCAGAGGAGTGAGGAGCGGCGCGCTGCCGCCCCTCGACGCAAGGAACGCAGGTAGGGGCAGGCCCCGGGGGAATGGGAGGGAGAGACCGGGGAAGACGAGTGACAAGGACACGAGAGGCCATGCCTCGGAGACGAGGCAGGGAGGGGTGACCAAGGCGGTGGTGCCAGACGAGTCTGGTGAGACAGGAGGCGACACGAGCAGGGGGCAGACTCAGGACCAGACCGAGACGCTGCAGCAAACACCTGACCCGATGCGGCTACCTGATGAGACTCAGTGACCGGAGGAGACATGGTAGTTGGGGTGTACAGGCTCGACCTAGGCTGACGGGTGAACGTGGCCAGGTGGCGGCCCGTCCGAGTACACGAACAGTGGGTCACCCGCAGACTTCCAGGAGTGAACTGGTCAACCCACGCGTCTTGAAGGTCAGCTCCACTCACCAAGTTCATGGAGAACGAGGGGAGGTGGAGGCCAGACAGAGAGCCAGACGGGACCGCTGGACACGGCAGAACCATGGAGTGTGCAAGGATCGGACCCCCAGAGGGGTCAGCCAGAGAGACTGCCACTGGCCGACTGAGCGGCGTGAGTGTGGTGCAGTCGCGAAAGAAGGAGCGGGAAGCTCCTGAGTCAAGCGTGAAGGTGTGCAAGGCCGCAGCAGGCGCAGTACCAGAGAGAGCAGACTCACCGGCACCTGGAGCAGTGGACTCACTAGCGCCTAGAGCAGCAGCCTCACCAGCACCTAGAGCAGCAGCCTCACCAGCACCTAGAGCAGTAGACTCTATACCTGGGTCAGGCGGCACACACAGGTAACAGGCACCCTCAGCACTAGTAGGCAATGCATACATGTCAGTGAGGATAGCATCATAGTCAAGAGCAAAGATATCTACCCTCTGCCTAAGCAACTCCAGCCAGTCGGGGAGCTCAGCCTCGTCGCCAAACTCGGTACGCCAGGCGTCGCTCAGACAGCCAAAGCAGCGGGACTGTGTGTGACCAACCGTCCCACAAGTCTGACCAGCCCGATCACCAGTGCGAATCATGTACGGGCAGCGAGCAGTACTCCGTGACCCTCTACTCTGAGCGTACCACTCACGAAGCTGCTGGGGCGTAAGAGTCTTGCGCGGACGCCGCTGCAGCTGCATCTGGCCACCGCCAGACGCTCCCGACTGACCAGCTCCAGGGCGACAGCCACGACGGCCACCGCCACAACCCCAACTAGCGTACCACTGACGAAGCTGCTGGGGCGTGAGAGACTCGGGCTGACGCCGCTGCAGCTGCATCTGGCCACCGCCAGACGCTCCCGACTGACCAGCTCCAGGGCGACAGCCACGACGGCCACCGCCACAACCCCAACTAGCGTACCACTCACGAAGCTGCTGGGGCGTGAGAGACTCGCGCGGACGTCGCTGGAGCAGTTGTAGCAGCAGAAGCAGCAGTATTAGCAGTAGCAGCAGTAGCAGTGGTAGCAGCACGGGCAGGGCAGTGCGGCTCTGGAAAGCAGTGCTGCACAGCCCGACAGCACGACGCGGCTCGGCTGGGCGGCTCGGCGTGGCTGAGCGGCGCGGCTCAGCTGGGCGGCGCAGCTCGGCTGGCAGGAAGGCGCAGCAGGCAGGCAGGCAGGCTGGCGCGGCAGTGCGCTAGTAAGGCAGACGTGCAGGAAGCATGGGTAGGGCAGGTGCTTAATAGGGGCAGGAAGGGCAGGCGCTCACCGGGCGAGTAGGGTCGGCGCTCGGTGGCGACGGCGGGGCCGCGACAGCGGCTTCAGGGCAGGGCCGCGTCAGTGGCAGGCTAGGGCCGCGACCGCGGCCGGACAGGGCCGCTACAGCTGCTGCAGGGCGGGGCCGCGACAGTGGTAGGGCTGGGCCGCGTCGGCGGCAGGGCAAGGCCGCGACAGCGGCCTGGTGGGGCCGCGACAGCTCCAGGGCGGGGCTGCGATAGCGGCAGGGCGGGGCCGCGACGGCGGCAGGGGGCTCCGCGGCAGCTGCTGCAGGGCGGGGCCGCGACGGCGGCAGGGGGCTCCGCGGCAGCTGCTGCAGGGCGGGGCCGCGACTGCGGCAGGAGTCTCCGCGGCAGCTGCTGCAGGGCGGGGCCGCGACGGCGGCAGGGGGGGTTCTGCGGCAGCTGTTGCAGGGCGGTGCCAGGGGGGGGCGCGGCGACGAGTAGGGACGGCGCCCAGGGGGCACTGCGACGAGCAGGGGCGACGCCCCGGGGGCGCCGCGACGAGTAGGGGCGGCGTCCAGGGGGCGCGACGACGAGCAGGGACGGCGCCCAGGGGGCGCCGCGACGAGCAAGGGCGACGCCCCGGGGGCGCCGCAACGAGTAGGGGTGGCGTCCAGGGGGCGCCGCGACGAACAGGAACGACGCCGCGCGGGTCCCGCAGGGGCGTCGCGACGAGTAGAAGCGACGCGCGGCGCGGCAAGGCGGCGCGCGGGTCGCATGGGCAGCGCCCACGGGCTGCAGGGGCGACGTTAAAAAAAAAAAAAAATCAGTTAGGGCAGGGCGGAACGTTCGGTGGGCCCTAGGAACGATTCTGCTCTGATACTATGTCACAAGGTAGGAAACAAGAATGAGTAGAAACAAGACAGTACAAGGTTGTATGGGCAAAACCTAACAGTACTGTACCCCATAAGGAGTGCCCCACTACAGCCTACAGTATAGTTCTGACAAGGGTCTGCACGGTTTTGACTTCGCCCTTTATGAGGGTCGACAGGTATGCAATGCATGCAATGAATCGATTGAGTCGCTTGTTTTGCCAATGGGCATTCGCGCACCTGGTTCGTTCAACTGCGTCCTGCTTGCATGCTAGGCACACCTATCCAACAACTCTAACTCCGTGCTTCAATGCGACGTCCCAGGTGGTGGCTATTAACGGGGACAAAGCGGAAGATTTCATCCGCAATTGGCCGGACAAGGAAGTGGGCTTCTCTCGCAACCTCGCAGCGCGATTCACGAGGTCTTTTGCGAGGAATGTAGCCGCAACAACGCCCAACGGCACGATGATCGTCCAGATGCCAGGCGACTTCGCCAAGCGAAGTGTTGCACCCGAAAATGACACCTTATTAGTGTCCTTCCTGTCACAGTACCAGATGCTCACTCACCTCTCCCTGCCACTCTTCCATGCTTCTTCCCTGCTTCTTCCCTACTTCTTCCCTGCTTCTTCCCTGCTTCTTCCTTGCTTCTTCCCTGCTTCTTCCCTGCTTCTTCCCTGCTTCTTCCCTGCTTCTTCCCTGCTTCTTCCCTACTTCTTCCATGCTTCCTCCTTGCTTCTTCCTTGCTTCTTCCCTTCTTCTTCCCTGCTTCTTCCCTGCTTCTTCCCTTCTTCTTCCCTGCTTCTTTCCTGCTTCTTCCCTGCTTCTTCCCTGGTTCTTCCATGCTTCTTCCATGCTTCTTCCCTGCTTCTTCCCTGCTTCTTCCCTGCTTCTTCCCTGCTTCTTCCCTGCTTCTTCCCTACTTCCTTGCTTCTACCCTGCTTCTTCCCTGCTTCTTCCCTACTTCTTCCCTGCTTCTTCCCTGCTTCTTCCCTGTCGTTTGCTTGCTGCGTTTCATCCCACTCATCCTCGTTCGCGCTTCATATGTCCCGTCCGCCCCCCACACCCACCCTTTATGTGCCGCACTCCCTGCGATTCTCAGGGATGGAGCGTCAACGGAGGACGTAGAGGTGCCATGGATTGGGATGGCTAAGCTTGCTGACTTTGCGAATGCCACCGGGTATTGGGCGAGTCAATGTGCCGTACCGAATCTGTCAGCTGCTGCTACTGCCAGCACCGGCGCGCAGGCAAGCATGCTCGGGCATGCAGATACCCTGATAAACGATTTTCTCGAAGGCCATTCCGCTCCAGTCTACTATGATGATATCAACAATGGGAGCCACACATCGGACGACCTCAATGTTGACATCGCGTCCCTTTCTACTGCAGCAGACGGCTCTTCTGGTGCTGTAGCGAGGCCGACTGTAAAGAGGATCTCTCCAAAGAAGGATTTCTTCCTGGTGAGCGGGATGGCTTGTGGTGAGCGGGATGGCTTGTGGTGAGCGGGATGGCTTGTGGTGAGCGGGATGGCTTGTGGTGAGCGGGATGGCTTGTGGTGAGGTGAGCGGGATGGCTTGTGGTGAGCGGGATGGCTTGTGGTGAGGTGAGCGGGATAGCTTGTGGTGAGGTGAGCGGGATGGCGTGTGGTGAATGATGCGTGTTTTTGTATGGATTCCTGCCTCATGGCCGCTTGGTTACTGTCTAGTCATGAATGGCGCTTGCCCGCTTGTGCCGGTTGGTGTGTGCCTGCAAGGGGCTTATGTGTAGCAGCGACTGACTGCCATGTGACATATTCTGATCTAACCGTTTTTCATCTGATCGAATCTGATCTGATCAGATCGGATCTGATAAGATTCGAGGCGCTCGCCGCACTTACATGCTAACCTGTAACGAGCATCCAGTTTGTGTGTGTGCGTGCGTGCGTGCGTGCGTGGGTGTGGGCGTGTAGGTGTGTGTGTGTGTATGTGTGTGTGTGTATGTGTGTGTATGTATGTGTATGTGTGTGTGTGTATGTATGTGTGTGTATGTGCGTGTGTGTGTGTGTGTATGTGTGTGTGTGTGTGCACGTGCTTTCGTGCATGCGAGCAGGTATACCTTGTGGGGGGCAGCACGGCAGTGATCTGGATTCACGCGTTTTACCCGCCCATTGCAACAAGGTCGTTCGCGGAGAAGTTAGCTATGGGGACGTTCATGGAGGAGATATCCAAGGCTCTTCACACCGCTGCAACGTCAGTACACCTCCTCCTCTGCATCTCCGCCTTTCCTTCTACTTGACTTCCCCCTCCTCCCGCCTTTCTCCCTTCTCCACTCCTAGTCGCACCGCAGTGCTCTCTTCTTAAGCCTCTTCAGTCATCGCCTGCCTCATGCCATTCATCTCAAACATCAATTTCGCGCCACCTTGTTCTCTCTTGCACTCCCCCCCATGCCTCCCCCCACACGCCCCCCCCATGCCTCCCTTCCCTGTGCCCCCTTCCAGGTCCAACGCCTCGCAGATCATCATAGACGTGCGCGGCAACGGGGGCGGCTCCGTACAAGCGGCGTACAGAGCCGTGCGCCTACTCATGGGGGCGGCCAAGGTGCCAGACACGCAGCTCATGCCGCCCATGGACTTTGTCATCGGCACGACGTACACGGAGAATGCCATGGGCGTGCTGGCAGTGGACAACACCACGGCGCCGCACTACTACCTCGGCCTCTACACGGACCTCAACGGCACCCACATCGCAAGCGCCTTCGACTACGCGCCTTTCCGCCAGCTGCGCTTCACACAGGCCGGCCGTGCGGGGACCTACTCGGCGCCGTTCAAGTTCGACCACAAGGGGCAGCTGCCCGTGAAGGAAGAGCAGCCAGTGTTTGGCGACCGCCCCTTCCTCGTGCTCTCCGACGGAGACTGCTTCTCCACCTGCGCTGTCCTCACGCACCTCCTGGGGAAACGCCACAAAGTACCCATGGTAACCGTGGGTGGTTTGCCCAACCAGCCCCTTGACGTGAGCTCCTCGTGCCTCGGGTTCACCCTGACTGACTCCTATGCGATGGCTGAAGGCCTGTACAAACTCGCTGCCACGGACCCACAGAAGGGGTCAATGCCTCTCAAGGTTCAAGGGGGCGTTAGAATGGCGTTCACCAACGCGTATGTGGATTCAGAGATTCCGTGCGAGTTTGAGTTCCTGCCCAGCCAGCACCACATCAACTACACCGTTGATCTGATTGCCAAGCCCTAGGCCATGTGGAGTGAGGTGGCCAAGCTATTCGACTCCGCTGCAGCCTAGTTCATTCATCGGGCGCCCCGACAGTTGACAACACTGCAGCCTGATTCATGCCCTTCTCATGGGTGGTGTTGGCTGAATATGAGGCTTTCAAGGGCTTCATTCATGGTGCTGCTGGCGGTGGATTTTTGTCATGCGTATGGTGGTGGTTGATGGATGGTTGGTAGTTGTCGTGCTGATGTTCTTTGTGTATCATGGGGTGTAGTTGTTACGCAGATGGGGTGAGCTAGCATGCTGATGAGTTGTATTTCCTCTATCATTCAGGAGCTGCTATGGTGGTACCTCTGGTTATCTTCCAGTGAAGTCAATGTTACTCCATTAACCTGGGAATAAAAGGGAAATGAGGCTATGAAAGCTGCGGTGCAAGCAACTACCGGTATTCCCCAGCGGTTGGGAGATCTAGCAGCAGCACCCCAGCACTCTCGTTTGTACGTATTTTCATTTAGTTTTGAAGCCAGGTCTGCCAAAAGCAATTCGCCTTTCACATCTTCCACATCTCTCGCCGCCCTTCCAGGCCCCCATTCCAAGGCCACTGCTGGCTTGGCTTCTCCTTGCCATATCCCTGCCCGGTGCCTCTCCCACTCCCTCCTCCCCTCTCATCTCCCACTTCCCCTGCCCCCACTTCTGCCATTTTCCCCATCTCCCCACAATGCCACTTCCATCTCCCCAATGCCCCTCATCCGACCTCCCCCCCTTCCCTCTTTCCCCCTCCTCCTCCCACACCACTGTCCTGGGCTTGTATGTATGCCACTGAAACTCCTCTCCATCCACCAAGATGCCTTCCTCCCACATCATTTTCCCCCCTGCTGCTCGACGCCACCTGCTCCACCCCATTAACCGACCCCCACAACCACAGTATTCAAGCGCTGCTGGCTTCCTTACTCTCCCTCGCCCTCTCAACGCTTTCCCCTGTCCAGCCCCGCTCTTGCTGTCCCTCCTTCCGTCCTGCCCCAGTGCGGCCTACATCCAATCCAAGCGCTGGTGGGTCCGTGCCTCTGCCACTCCTCCGCCGCTGCTGCTGGGATCCGCGGCCTCTCATGCCTCTTTCACAAGCCGTGCGAGTGGCGTGCAACTAGCTTTGAGATGAATGTGATTTGTCGATGCCTTGGGCGTTACACCATGTGTGACCTGAGTGGCGCGTTGAGCGTGTCGGGTGAGCTCGTGTGGCGTCGCGCTGGACGACATGAGCTCGTGTGGCGTCGCGCTGGACGACATGAGCGAATAAAAGCCTCCTTAATCGGATCACGATTGTAACATCTGGTGCTGGATATGCGATCGCGCATGGAGAGCTGAGTGTGCGAGGTGAGTTCATGACATCAACTCTACGTGCGAGCATTGTGCTGGTGAAGGCATTTGGTGGCCGAACGTGCGAGCGTGGTGCTGAAGTGGTGACCCAGTAGTGAGTCTCATTGGCCAATCGGTTCTCAACATCTGCTGAAAAAGGTACGGGGAGTGAGCCACTAGTGAATTTCAAACTGCCACACTTGCATGAGTCAACGTATGGGTGGACGACGTGAGTGAGGGGTGAGTCTAATGTGCGAACCTCGTTCCAGAAGTTGACATCTGTGCGCTCTAGTCTAACCTCCCCCACTTTTCAACACCATGCACACAACCCCCGTTCCATAAGCCCCCCTACTTCTCTCCACTTCCCGGCCATGATGTCATGTTGTCATGCTTATCCCATGCTCATCCCATGCTCATCCCATGCTCATCCCACGCTCATCCCATGCTCATCCCATGCTCATCCCATGCTCATCCCATGCTCATCCCATGCTCATCCCATGTTCATCCCATGCTCATCCCATGTTCATCCCATGCTCATCCCATGCTCATCACATGCTCATCCCTTGCTCATCCCTTGCTCATGCCATGCTCATCCCATGCTCATCCCATGCTCATCCCATGCTCATCCCATGTTCATCCCATGCTTATCCAATGCTTATCCCATGCTTATCCCATGCTTATCCCATGTTCATCCCATGCTGATCCGTAACGTCGCATGTGATGTGTGATTGCTGTCGTGGGCAAGGAGGGGGATGTATGGACATTGGTGAAAGAGGGTTAAACCCCTCTAGTCAATTCATACCCATCCGTTTCCCCTCTCTCTTATCCCATTTTCATCATTCTTTCTTTTCCTTCCCTCTCTTGTCAGCACCATCATGCATGGAGCATGGCAGGGCGCAGCACAGGAGGAGGTAGGGTAGGTGAGCGCTCCCATGCCATCAAGGGCTGAGCTTTTCTTGCCCTCATCTCATCTCATTAGGCCTTGTGCTCGGCATGGGATGCGCATGAGAGGGCGCATGAGAGGGTGCATGAGAGGGCGCATGAGAGGGTGCATGAGAGGGCGCATGAGAGGGCGCATGAGAGGACTCACCCCCTACACTGCACTGCCCTCCCCATCCTCCCACTTTACCCTCCTACCCCGTCTCCCCTTTCCCCCACTCAGTCTGATGGTTTGCGTGCCAGGCGCGGGCAGCAGGGAGAAAGGCAGCGCAATTTTCTCGGGTGGCTCTGCTGCCCCAGCTGGCTTTGCTGGGGGATCCAGCGGGAGGAGGGCGGAGGAGGGCGAGGGGCGAGGGGCTGGACGAGGACGGTGCCTTCACCCCAGGCCATGGAGGGACATAGCACGGTGTGGTGCGGTACTGGGGTGTTGGGTTAAGCAAGTAGGGACAGTGTGAGGCAGTAGGGGGGATGGGTGAGACCTCAGGATGGGTGAGACTATAAGGGGGGTTGGTGTCAGTCAGTGTGAGGCAGGCACAGGAGAGGTGCTGTTAGTGCTAATGCTAGCATGACTGAGGGAGGGATACTCTGAGGTGTGACTATACAGAGGGATATTGTGAGTCATGTGTGTTCCAGTGTAGAGTGGTATGCTGTGTTGGGGCGCTGCATTAAAAAAAGTGCTTTTTTACTTGCTGTGATCTGATGGTGAAGCGCTGTAAAAAGGGAAAGCTGTATTGGCATGATTGGGCTGACATGTTCTGGTGGCTCCAAGGGATGCTGCATGTGAGCAGGAGAAGGTGAGGAGAGAAAATGGTGAGTAGAGAAAATGGAGATGAGCAAAGGAGGTGAGGAGATTGGTGCACGGAAGGAAGACGTTGAAGTAAGAAACAGGGAAGGTTGGTTGGAAGCAGAAAAGGTGAGGAGCAGGAGGGTGAAGGGAAGAGGGTGAGCGGATTGCTACAGTCTTGAAGCCTTTGAGCCCTTGGCATCTGGGCTGGAAAACGTAGTAGGTGGGGGCGAAGTTGAAGTTCTGACTGAGGGGGAAGGTGGGCCCTGCATTGGCGGTGACTGTAATGAATGGCACTGTACTGAATACCGGAGGGGGTGGAACAGAGGGAGTGAGAAGCTGTAGCGGATGATAGATCTGCACCGGATTCTGCAAATCCTCTCCCTCGCCCTCACAGTGTCTCCCTCCAATTAGCCGAAGACAGCTGGTGTAGGCCTGTCAGGAGTAGCCGGCGATTATGGTGGCAGCGGCAACGGCAACGGTGGTGGAGGTGGTGGTGGTGGTGGTGGTGGCGGTGGTAACCGCGTGTTACGGCTGCGGCCAATCACGGTGGCGGCCATGCGGGCGGCGAAACTGCAGGTGGCACGGAGCACAGGGGGAGACAGCAGCAGCATGGCGGCCGTGCAACCACCTCCATGGGGGGGAGGAAAGAGGAGAGGAGGGGTGGGGGCGCTTCAGGCAACAAATGAGGCGCCATGATGAGGAGAAATCCGCCTGCTTGCTCTGATCTGAAGTTGGAGTGCTGCAGACAAGGAAAGTTGGTGTACCCCGCTTGCTTTGACATTCTTGTGTGGCTCTACACATGTGATAGTATTGCATGCACGGACCTCCGTGCTGGTGCACCTCACTGCATGCTGAATGAAACTTTCTAAAAGATTGTTGAAATTCCTTGCGTATCCTGACGTTTCTTGGATAGTATTCGGAAGTTTGGTTTGGCTGGAAGTGGTTGTTCCAGTATACCATGCTGGCAGGCAAGCATTAATTGGTGCTGCTTTTGATTTTTTGGCTTGTACCATGTCTCCGTTCAGGCAAACAAGGTTTACAGCTAAACAATAGATATAAATAACATGCATGTACATTGATAACTACATTCTAAGAAGCCCGACAACTAAACAGCACACTACCAGCAGCAGCAACATCCCATCCCATGATGTCAAGCCTCGGTCATCACATGGCCCAGCCTCTGACCCATTGGAGAGCACGTGAGCAGCTTTAGTCGTCTAAGCGCCCACAATCCAGCCTATATGCTCCAGTCCCCCATCCAGTTGCTGCAACACCCTGACCAGCAGGGTGCAAAAAGTGTTTCCGCCTTCCTCCCCACTGTCCACCACTCCGTACCAGCCGTATGCTCTCTGCTCACTCCAATCAGCACCACCCTCCCACTCTCCACCACACACTGCATCCCTCACGGCCTCCAAGGAGGCCTTGCTGCTGCTGCTGCTGTTGCTGTATTTGCCCTGATAGGCCGCCTTCCACTGCATTCTGCACTGCCATTCCTCCTCTCCTGCTGCTGCTGTGTGCTACTTCTAGCTGCGACTAGAGGACGGGTTACCACAGCCGCATGTGCCATCCCTGAGGTCGCCAGTGCAGCAGGTGCAGTCTTGGCTGACCGTGGCTTGGGAATGAGGGACGGCGGCAGGCATGCACTTGCTGCTGCCGGCCTCGCTTCACAGAACCTCCTGCACTGCCCTTGCTTGGCTTGGGGATGCGGGAAGGCAGCTCCCTCAGCCTGTCTGCTGCCATTCTCGAAACTAAGCCTTTGCCTGCAACGGACCGGGCTGAGCTTGCAGTGGAACCCACTGCACCACCCACCACTGCAGTCTCCGCTCAACACACCACTGCTGCAGTTTCACCCGATTTCTTGGTCCCACATTTTCTGCCGATTTTTAAGGTGTTGAAAACACCATTCAGCACTTCTTTGGTGACTTGAGCCCACGCCATGATAAAA